AAATAAATAAATAAATAAATAAATAAATAAATGTTTTTTAAAAATTTTAAAAAAAAGAGACACCGTCTTTCATCTACCAAACTGGCAACCTTAGAATTTAACATGACAGACATTCTCAGTCCCTACTTAATAAAGTATAATCCAGGACAATGTTTCTAGAGAGCATTTTGTAAGATCTGTCAAAGTCTTAAACACTTCTAGGAGTTTATCCAAAGAAAATAATAGTGTATGTACATAAAAATTTAACTACATACATCCTTATAGTTAAAACACCAACACCCTAAAGCCACCTAAATGTCCAGCAAATGAAGCATTCAACAAAAATGACAATATAAAAACATTCATAATAAAAAATATTTACAAGAGATTTTAAATGAAAAATGAATTTCAAAACAGTACCTACCTATGCCATTTTTATAAATAAAATGTGGCCATATATAGATCCACAGGGAAAAAAAGGCCAGAAAAATAAATACCAAGTTTTAAAAATGGTTTCTCTCCTTCAAAATAAACTTAATTTTAAAAATTTAAAAAAAAAATGGTTCTTATCGTCTTTAGTAGGATTAAATATATTTTATTAATTTTGCTTATCTGAACTTTATAAAAATAAGTATTACTATTTTTATGAGAATAGTAATTGTTTTTACAAATAGCAGGCTAAGATAATCAATTGGCCCACCACAAATATCCCAAACCCAAGTTTTCCCAATTTTTCTGAAGAACAGAAGCCCTTCCTTACAGGAGGAACTGTCCTGTCAATAATAGTTCGAAAGATCTCCATCCACGCTGTCATGGTCTGGTTAGTCACCAGTTGAAGAGGCAATGCATACTGAAAGCAAAAGAACGATGTCATCAAACAATAATTCTTCCCCTCCGAAAAAAGCCACAATTTCACCTATATTGGAAGGCTGAAATACATCCAATGGTTAACATTTGACCATGAAAATGGTAATTTCATATGGTTCAACGTAAATTTAACTTAGATATAAGCATATATACATAAACTAAAATTTTGAAAATCTAGAAGTATACATGCCATGAATTGTTTCTCTGCAACCTTTTTAAATGAAAAAAAAAGAACTTTATTACAGTAAGGTCTCATTTATTCAGCATGAGATTCTAGATAAGTGATTTTTACCATTTGCCCCTTTGTGTATCAAGCTTTTCCTTTTAACCACTTTTTTCCCCAGGCTTTATTGAGATATAATTGACATATACCATTGTGTAAGCTTAAGATACACAATGTGATTATCTGATGCACGTATATATATTTTTTTAATTGATTACCAAAATAAGGTTAACACCTCCATCACCTCACACAATTACCTTATTTGTGGTGAGAACTCATTTTAACCACTTAAATGAAAATCTTTACCTCATGACACACTTTGTTCAATTACTTTACGCTGCAGCATAACACCATAGCTACTCTATAACCACACTGTGAGTTACAGGAGGCAAGGCACAGTGCCTCTGCATCCATGCATTTTCAAAACCTCTACACGTCAAGAACACAGTGACAGGTAAGAGGCAGTCTCTGTCCTCACAATGCTTACACTCTAGTTAGGGAAAACACACATATAAACAAGGAATTACAATACGGTATGATATATAATCCAGATAAAAAACAGTACAACATTGTTAAAGGCACACATGGAAGGATCGCCTCATCCAGGCTGGTGGGATCAGGGACATCTTTCTAGAAGTGATACACAAGCTGAGACCTGGAGAAAGAGCACAAACTGCCCAGGGCATAAAGGACAAGAGTGTTCCTGTATTTTTGTACAGCATTTCAGAGGCTGAAGGCATGACGTTCTCATGAAGCTGAAAGAATTTCGGTATGGCTAGAGTGTAAAGTACAAAGGTAAGAATGGTAAAAGATAAGGTGGAGCCAGAAGGGTTTTATAAGCCATGTTAGGAAGTTCCCAGCTTAAGTGCAACGGGGAATGGTTTGGGCCTGAGATAGGGAGCAGAGGAGGAGCGGATTCAGCATTAGTGGGAGAGTGACGAGGAGTTCACTTCTGGACAAACTGAATTCTGAAGTATGTATGGAATGTCCACATGCCCTGTACACAACGTTTAATAAATGCTACCTAGACAAAGTCAACTTAATTGTATCATACTCCTTAAAATACATTTTTCTGCCTCTTCCCAAATTATCAGACATTAACTTTCTCCATACATTATCCTTGTATGGTACCTCTTAAAGCTGCCTGAATTTTTGCTTCCAGGATTCCCAGAGGGAGCATATTACTGTAGTAGCATAAAATAGATTACCAAAGTGATTAAAAATGTTGAGGGTTGGGGCGCCTGGGTGGCGCAGTCGGTTGAGCGTCCGGCTTCAGCCAGGTCACGATCTCGCGGTCCGTGAGTTCGAGCCCCGCGTCGGGCTCTGGGCTGATGGCTCAGAGCCTGGAGCCTGTTTCCGATTCTGTGTCTCCCTCTCTCTCTGCCCCTCCCCCGTTCATGCTCTATCTCTCTCTGTCCCAAAAATAAATAAACGTTGAAAAAAAAAAATAAAAAAAAAAATGTTGAGGGTTTGCATTGGTTTTTTTAGGTTTGTAGCAGCAAATGTTGAGAGAAAACATTCTAGACTTTGCCCTCTTAGCAAATCAAACAGAGGTGGAGGCTTTAGGAAAATCATTTCATCAGCCTCTTACTTCCTGATTCCTACTATGCTTCTTTAGATGGGAAAGGGAAGTCCAGCCTCTGTATAAATGGGATGTTCCTCTATCTAACAGCAGAACATCTCACGGAATAAAAAATATTTCCCTCAGAGTAGAGTGCTTCTCCCAAGGAAAATTTCTGAACAGTGTTTTAATAAATAGCCAAAGGTACCATATATCTTCCGTCTCTATTAGTTTTAAAAAAGGGCAGGGGTGGGGGGGCAGAATATAGTTTCCAAGTATCCTAGTTTCTTCTCTCTTTTCAGATACACTTCCTCCTCCCTTCCATCTCCCCACAAAAGGCTAAGCTGGAAAAAAAAAAAAAGAAAAAGAAAAAAACCCTACATCAGATCATTCTCTATTAAAAGTTTAAGAGATGCTGGAGTGCCTGGGTGGCTCAGTCAGTTAAGCGACTCAGGTCATGATCTCATAGCTCGTGAGTTCAAGCCCCATGTTGGGCTCTGTGCTGACAGTTCAGAGCCTGGAGCTTGCTTCAGATTCTATGTCTCCCTCTCTCTCTCTGCCCCTCCCTCACTCAGTCTGTCTCTCTCTCAAAAATAAAAACATTAAAAAAATTTTTTAAGTTTAAAAGATTCATCTAAAAATATAAATTGTTATTGAAGTGAAATATTCTGAAATACTACAAAAGTACTTAATTAAGTGGCATATGGAGCCAAGAACAAAACCAACTATCTTGGCTCTCTAACTCAACAACACTACCCTCTTGCCATGACTAACTAAAAAGTCATGTTAGAGGAGTCTAGGTGGCTCAGTTGGTCAAGCATATGATTCTTGATTTTGGCTCAGGTCATGATCTCAGTCATGAGATCAAGCCCTGTGTCGGGCTCCACGCTGAGTGTGGAGCCTGCTTAGGATTCTCTCTCTCTCTCTCTATGCCCCTTTTCCACCCCACGCTCACTCTCTCAAAATAAATAAACTTTAAAAAAAAAAAAAAAA